TGATAATAACCTCGATTCGCATTTCCATTAAATTTATTTTTATTTTGATTTCCCAGATAATTATTTTGTTTATTTTGATAGCCTTGTCGGCTGTTTGAATTATTTTGAAAATTTCCAGCATTTCTATTTAAAAAATTTCTTTGGGAATTAACGGGACCAACTTGGTCAAATTTTTCTAATAAATCTAACAAATTATTTATATCTTGAATACCTCTAACAATTATTGCAGTTTGAATATCCTCTGTGAAATGTCTAGAAATCTTCATAATAATTTCATTTTCTGAAGGTGGTGGAATTAAGTCTTTTGCTTTATTAATCATCTTTATCGCGTAAGCTGACCTTGATAATTTACCATTTGGATTATAATTCCCAAATTGTAAATTAGTGCCTATTTTAAATCTAATTTCTTCATTCCAAAAACGATTTATAAATTTTTCTTTAAAATTTCTATAATTATCATCTTCTGCTTTGACTAAATTCCACCATTCTTTAGAAATACCTTCTAAACTAGCTTGAATAAAATATTTAAATTCTTCATCATTTATATCATTAAAATTCAAATAGTCCTCTAATTCGCGTAAATACGTCATCGGGCGTTCTTGAGTACTGCCAGAAAATTTAGGTAATGGCAAATCTTTCATCCATGAACTTCTGGATAATGAATCATTACTTTTAATTTTATTAACTTTTCGTTCAATTTTATTTTGATTTTCTGTTATATTTTTAATTTTTTATTCATTATATGTTGTCATTATAACATTTTCCTCTGTACTCAAGTGTATATCATTTACTTTTTTTCAATATTTTCAATCGTTCTCGAGACATTCTCTATCGTCTCGTCGACATTGAGTCTAACATTCTCGCATACTCTTTTGTTTATATTTATACTAGTGTCTACTCTGTCATTTAATTTGCTCATTATTTCTACTATTTCGCGTTTATTCTGTTCAATTCTTTTTTATTGTAGATCTATCTTTAGTACATAAATCAAAATTTTCTTTTTGTTGAGTTGCTACAGTTGCTAAACCCTTTTTTATTTTTTTTACAGCTACACCCAATTCGGTCATGAAATTATCAAAATCTCGTTGAGTTATATTTAAAGTTTCTCTATCTTCTTCACTTAAATTTAAATTATCATCATCATCTTCATAATCAGTTACTTCTACTTGAGTTTCATCAAAAATATCCATAAAACCCCAATTTTTTTTTTTTATTTTTAGATTTATCATTATTTTGATCTTTTTGTTTTGATTTATCCCCTTCTATATTTATATCATCTAAAAGAGATTTTGGTAACTCACTTTGTTCTTCCGCCATTTTTATTTATTTAAAAAAAATGTATTATTCGCGAAAATAAGATTATATTTAATTTTAATAAATCAAATTCTCCAATTCAGGATGATTCTTAAAATTTATTTTTGTTTTATTCTCTTATGCATGCGTATATTTATATACTAAATTTCATTCTATCCAGAGATAAGAGGGAAAGAAAAAAAAATAAACACCAGGGGTACCAGTTGAAGCATTCATAAGCTCTCAGTCCGGGGATTATTAATATATTATGTAATTTCTTATTCTTCTTTAATTAAATTTACGTGACACATCGATTCTGAGAAGTAAATGAGTTCAAACATGTGGCCGATAAATTGTAAACATAAATGTTTAGGGAAGTATCACCCACATTCTATAATCTCTAATACAAAAGAAACAATAGTATTGTTAAAAATTGTTAGAGAGCCCCTAACAATTGGACTCCCAAAATCAACAATTTTAAATAAATTTTATTTTTAAGTACGATTTAGTCCTTTTTATCTTTCTCGCCCACAGATGCAGATCGTTTAGGTAGAGATCGTTAGAAAGCCCCCAACAATCTGCATTTCTCAAGTTTGAAAGACTTGACTTTGTAGATTTTATAATTCTGAAATTTCCTTATATTAATATAAAAGAAAGCTCTTACCAGTTTAAAACTTTTCAGATAAAAGAAACAGAAACACGCATTTACTTGGCTTATATAGTTGCGTCCCTACCCTTAGTTTTCTGGGGTAAGTAAAATTCAAAATGTGCGAGTGCATGAGTAAGGAATTTCAAATTGATTGAGCGAAAATCCGCGAGTTTCCCTCACCACTTTACGCTGGGTGCTTCTTCCATGTATTTCTTACCGCCAATTTCTCCCTCTATTTGGATTTTTCGCGGCGTTTATTTTCGGATAGCCAATTACATTTAAATTATTTTCTAAGGACGGAGATATTTTTCTCTCTCTAATTCCGTTTCTAACGTTCGCCAAGAACAATGTCATTGTCTACCTGTCAATTATTTTTCTCTAACTGATTTTCATTTTCTAAAATCTTTAATTTCTCAAAAAATAATAATTTTAAAATAATTTAACTTTTACCATTAATTTTTAAATAATTTTTACTTTAATATAACATATAATTTCATTTAATTATTATTAATTTCAGCAATTTTTTAAAATAATTTTTATTATTTCACTTTCTAAATAATTTAAAAAAAATATAAAATAAATTTATTCTTTAAATAATAATCTATAAAAATTCTTATTTATAAAAAAAAACTTTAAATTTAAATTAAATTAATAATTCTCTTAATTCGTATTAATATCTACCTTCTCTTTCTATTATTTTTCCTGTTTATGTTTTCATTGTGTTATCTATAGATATCTTCTCTCTCTTTCTATTATTTTCAGGAATTCAATTTATCTAGTTTTAATTTCATTACTTTGTATAATTTTATTTTTAATATTTATTAATTTATAATTTTTAAATAATTTATAATTTTTGTAATAAAATTTTTGACTATTCAAATACCATTTCAATTGCCCATAAGAATCAGAATTAAAAAATTTCTTTTTTCTCAATTTCTTAATAAACTAAGTGCTTTAGTACTAAAGGGTAATTTTATTCTCTGTTTTGTAAGCCTGTACATTGTAATTAAGTAAGTAAATAAATTTTTGCATGTTCTTGTTTATAAAATAAGATTTTAACTATTAAAGCAAAATAATGTCTTTTATTTCAAAACAAGTTTAATTTAATTTATATTGTTAAAACACACGTCATTGAGTATACAGAGTTCTTAACATAAATGTCGTATACAAATATTAAAATTCTGGTATTTAGAATGATTTTTGAAAAAAAATTTCCCTCATAAAACATTATTTGGACACAAACAACACATTAGTTAAAGAATTACACACTGTTATTACATTCTCATCATAATGAGAAAGTATTACATTTGACCGATATTGACCAACCTCTAATTCTTGTGAATCTCCACGTTTCAAAACTCCCTGATGCCAAAAAAATAAGTTTTAAAAAAATGTCTGTCTGTCTGTATGTATGTATTATAACGCGATTTTTACTTGATTGATTATTTTTATATTATTTTTATTTTAATTTTACCAAAAACTATTAATTTTAAATTATTTTTCTCACGTTACTTTATTTTTTTTATTATTTATTAATTTTAAGACGCCAAGTTATTTTTATGGGAAATAACTAAACCATTCTATATTTATTTGAATATAATATAATATCCGCCTGCTGGCTCAGCACGTCATTTCTTTTGTACCAATGACCCGCGGAGAGTGGGGGGGAGAGGATAAAGACACAAATAAACACTTCGCTTAATTTGTTTTCATAATTATTTCTTTAATTCATTAATTTAATTAAATTAATTATTCGGCAGAAGGCCGAATAATTTTCACAATTAGTATTCGGCAGAAGGCCGAATAATTTTCACAAGTATAATGTTAGTATGCAAGATCTTTTCTGTATAACGGAAGGTTATATTATGAATTTAAATTATTAATTTAATAATGTGCCGATCTGGCTGACAAATTATTATAATCGGGACTCACCGTCTATACGACGTCTACCCCGTAGCGAACCTCGTCCTGACATAATTATTAAATGTCGAAAATATTATTTTTATTACAACAAAAGAAAAACTGGCTTGTCGCCTACTACACTTCCAGAATGAGAATGACTAAAAATGGCTGACCTGTCACGCTAGTCGGCGTCTCTTTGTGCGCTTTCTTTTTAGAGGTGAGTCCCGGTGAAAGTAATTAATTAGAACTTTCTTTATCGATAATCAATTTATCACGAGTCGATATTTTTCATGAATCCGGAGGGTAAAGTAGAACGCTACCGTGCCACGGCGCATCGTAGCGCTCTCTATCCAAAATGGCCGCTCCCATTGTTGTGACAGCTGAGTATACAAATGAATTTTCGTCTTCCTGGTGCTCTTCTTATTCGGGAATCTCTTCCAAATATATACACCAGGAAGCACTTCCCTTGTGGTACATCGAACATCATTAATAATATGGAAAAGCTGACTCATTTTGTTGAATCGGAGAATTACTCCGATTAATGTCCATTTTTTCATGAAATAGAAAAATAATAAAATGATAATGTGGACAACAATTTACTGTTTCCTTGAATCGATCTGGCGAGTCAGCAGGTATTTTTGATTTTATTCACTATTGCTTAATTTAATTTTTATATTTTTACAATTCTTTTGTTATAATTTTACTTTTGACAAACATACTGATTTTTATTTGTTTTTAGAAATGATGGTGATTCCCACCCTGGAATATTTATTTACTATTTAGCTATAAAAAAATAAAGGAATATTGTGACGAGCATAAAATGCCGCGTCACAACTCCCCCCTGCTAAGACTCGGCCTAAGGGGTCGAGTAGGCAAGTCCCGACCGTGGAATTTGCCACTCGCCAGATCGACAATTATTTAAGGTTTGCAAGAACTTACTTGCTCAAGAATTAAATTCCATTTTAATTTTTAATGCTAATTATAATTTAAATTTATCTGAAGTGAAAATAAATTGACTGAAATGAATAAACATACGGTAACATTATTTAATTGTTACAATTATAAGTTAGCTGAACCACTGAAAATTTAAAGAATCAAACATTTAAACTCTTAGGAAAAGGTGGTATGGTTTAGGAACGTCAGTCAGTGAAAAATATTATTAACACAATCGTCAAGTAGTTAAGTACTATTTTAATAGTGAGGGCAACATACCCTCCCTCACAAGGGTGTACATATTAATTAATGATATTAATTGGACCTAATTAATTTTTCTTTTCGTAGTGTTTGGGGCAAGAGTGGTAATTGTGGCCTGTCTGGAGGCAGAATCCACAACGCCCTCTTCTAAATTTAGTTTTGCCCCAATAAGTAGGGGTTTTGGCTTTTGAGGCAATCTGCTGCCTCACCTGTTCCATGCACCATTCTCGGCTACGAGGAGTGGTACATTCTTCTGAAGTTGGAGGAGCTCTTGGCTCCGCCTGAGAAGGGCGGTTTACGTCCGGAGGGCCTTCGAGCCTTGGGAGGTACTGCTCCTCCTCCTCTGTCAATCGCACCGTCGGGGTATTTGCAATGACTTGGATCATATGATCCAAGTCCCTCTCATCGAACGAGGACGCTTCTGAAGGAAGCCTTCCCCGTGTCGTCAGGGACCTGGCTGCCACCCAAGTCTCCACCTCGCTCGCCTCATCCTCCTCTCGAGTCCTGAGCAACCGCCTGGCTGTTGAGGAAATTTTAATTTAGGGACGATTTAACTCTCAATTACTCAATATTCATGGTCCTGATCAGTTCTACCCAGCTTCCAGAAAGGATCAAATTTAAATGTAAAGCTACATGGATTTTTCTCATTAATATAAAATAATAATTTTTAAAGGTCATGGACCACTAGAACTGTTAGGTCCAGACAGCATCTTTCCAGATGCTGACGGAAAGTAAATCATTAAACTAAATCAGGTCAATTCTGACTTATTTATCTTAATTCCTAAGGTTTTAAGATAAATAACGACTAAATTAAGATAAATAGCGGTCTTTTAGTTAAAGATCAATACAGATGTGTTTAGGAAATTATTTACAGAATCCTTTCCGAATTTTAGACCATGGACCGGTTTACCTAGCACAATTCAAGGTCAAAATTGAGATGAACTAAGAATTTTTCTACAGATTAATAAAATCTTTATTTTACAGATTCCTTCTCTGGAAACTGACCATGAACCATTCGGATCTAACCTCATCTCTTTTTTTTTTTTTTTTTTTTTTTTTTTATTTATAATTTGATTACAATAAAAACTTTTTCGAATTAATACAGTATTATATTTACACCTTATCTTATAACGTCTTTGTGAATTGAATTCCGAGACTACTCCTTAACCAGACGCGAAGTATATGAATCAACACGAATACGAACGATTACGGAGTTTCTTTCGCTGAGAGGGTTCTAGGTTTTCTATTGGTATTGCTCCGAATTCGCTTTCACTCTCCAACTCAGGTTCCGGGTCTGACCAATTTATTTCTAATAACTCCCGGTCTAAATCGTTTCCAGATTCGGAGTTTGAAGACTCCATATCTTCCTCTAGTGAAAAATATGGTTGAAGATGTGAAGCGTGGTACCTTCCAGCTAAACGGCCTTCCGTCGACGAAAGCTCATAGACATTCGGTGAAATCACCTTACTAATCATAAAGGGGCCGTGAAATGCTGGGGCCAATTTACTAGCGAACCTATCTTGTCTCCTAGATAAAACATGCAATGGTTTCTTGACCAAATCGCCTAATTCAAAATGAAGGTCACGACGCCCACGATTATAATACTTGGCTTGCCGAACGAACGCCTGATCTTGATTTTGACATATTTTCTCTCGCAAATCTGATAATCTGGTCATACGAGTAATCCATTCAGATACATCAGCGGGCGGTAATTCATTACTCATTTCCTCGATACGACGCCATGATTTCAATGGGACCGGTTCTCTACCTAGATTTAAGAATGCCGGTGTTACCCGATTGGTACTATGCAGTGCCGTATTATACGCAAACCGAAAGTCGCCCACAAAAGTGTCCCAATCTCGGTGGTTATCACTTATAAAAGAACGAATCATTGTTTTGAGGACTCTATTAGTCCTCTCCACAGGGTTCGCCTGCGGGTGATATAATGGGGTGAATGAATGATGGATCGAGTATGCCGTGGTCAAGCTTTTAATTGCTTTATTACGATATTCGGTGCCACTATCCGAATGCAGCACTTGAGGTGTACCCCAGCGATTGACCACTAGCTCGCGAAATGAATTTATGACAGTGGTGGCGTTAGCTACTCGAAGAGGTGCCAACTCTATCCACTTTGTGAACAAGTCCTGGTAAACAATTAAATATTCGAATCCTCGGGAACTCTTGGGAAACGGACCCATAATGTCCGTGGCCACTACACTCCACGGTTCCTGAACAATTCGTTGTCCCATTATACCCCGTGGTTTGGACTGTTCGGGTTTATTCATTTGGCAAACTATGCATTTCCGTACGAATGATTCTACATCCTTAAGCATACCCGGCCAAAAATACCGAATAGCAAGTCGGTCATACGTCTTTTGACCGCCTAAATGACCGGCCTGAGTGCTTTCGTGGGCCTCCTGGATTATAAGTGGTTGATTTTCTTTAGAGACTACCAACTTCCAGGCATTTAGGTCATCTATAAGGTTCTCAATTAACGGATTGCTACGATAACGGTATAGTCGGTCATTTACTACTTTCCAACCCTGATATTTTTGGGGTTCATTTTTAACGGCTTCGATACGCCTATTATACCAATGATCTATTACGGGTTCAATTGCAGCTATTTTATTTTCATCCGAATCTTCAAACATGCGCGATAACGCATCCGGTATATCATGCATTGACCCTTTCCTATGAATAATTTCGAAGTCATACTCAAGTAATTCCAACGACCATCGAGCTAATCTGCCGGTCGGATTTCTAAGGTTCTTCAACCACCTTAAACTACTATGGTCGGTTATCACCGTAAAGTGATAACCTTCCAGGTAGAATCGGAACTTTTTGATAGCCCAAATGACCGCCAAGCATTCCTTCTCAGTTGTGGAATAATTACGTTCCGCATCTGAGAGAATGCGACTCGCGTAAGCAATTACTCGCTCTTGGCCATCTTGAACTTGAGTCACTACAACTCCGATGCCGCAATTACTCGCATCTGTTTGTATGCAGAACGGGAGGCTGAAATCTGGATATCCCATTATAGGGGGTGATACTAACACCTTTTTCAGTATATTGAACGCGTTTTCTTGTTCGTCAGTCCATTTAAACGGGTGTTTCTTCTTAGTTAGACGAGTTAATGGCTCGCAGATCTGAGCATAATCTTTTATAAACCTGCGATACCATGAAGTAACACCAATGAACCGGCGAAGCTGGCGTAAGTTTCTAGGTCTTGGAAAGTCCAATATAGGACGAACCTTATCATCATCAACTAATAACCCCTTCTGGTTTACTACAAAACCTAAATATTTAGCTTCTGGTACGCAGAAGTTACATTTATCTGGGTTTAACGTGAGACCTGCCTTAGTCAGACGATCGATCACTCTTTCAATCCATATGAGGTGTTCCTCAAATGTCTCAGTAGTGATTATCAGATCGTCTAAGTAAGCGAAAACAAACGGCTTCATATCCGGTGTAATAATTCGATCTATTAACCGCTGAAAGGTGGCTGGTGCCCCGCATAACCCGAATGGCATGCGAGAATACTGCATCAGACCCAAACCCGGTACGAAGAAGGCTGTTTTAGCTTTACTTTCTGGACTTAGTGGTATTTGATGATAACCAAGTTTTAAATCTAATTTAGAAATATATCTAGCTGAATTAAGTTTATCCAGAATTTCTGCCATAAAGGGCAATGCGTATGAATCTTTTACTGTCACATCATTGACCCTTCTAAAATCAATACAAAGACGGTAAGTACCGTCCGGCTTACGAGCCATTACTACTGCATTACACCAGTCACTATTTGAGGGTTCTAATACCCCTAAACGAATCAGTTCCTTAACTAATTTAATGAACTCTTCGCATACTTTAGGTGACATGCGATAATTTTTCTGACGTATTGGAGGACTATCCCCCGTATTAATGACATGTTCAACCAGATTAGCTGCGGGTAATTTATCTGGAACCGGAGGTATTAACCGTTTTAAAAGTAAATCGAGTTTCTGTCTTTCCCGATCGGTCAGCTCTATTAATCCGGCGCATGAATTTTCTAATTCCGATTCGTTTTTGCTAAAATCTATCCGAATTACAGGTTCATTAGCTGCCCACAACTTCTGTTCCTTATTATCAATTATTATTCCGAATGTTCTTAGGAAATCCATGCCTAATATGCATGATTCTGATAATTCGGGGACAATTCGAACATTTAACTCATAAGTTACCCCAGCAAACGTGATTGGTAAAAGAGTTTCCCCCATAATTGGCTCAATACTACCATTGGCCAACATCACACTGCCAGATTTATTGATCAGCTCATAATTATTTGCTTTTATGATATGCTCGCCTATAGAGCCTAAATAAGTTTTACACGAACCTGTGTCTACTAAAGCTTGAACTTCTGATTCACCTATGATCAAATTTATATAAGGTCTCGATTTAGCATCCTTACCACTTAAATGACTAAGATTGTCTACTTCGACTAGCCTTGAATAATTAGGTGCCGTAGCAGACAATTGAGATTCTGAAATTTTCTGATCTACTATAAGATCAGGAAATTCTGAAATTTTCTGATCTACTATAAGATCAGAAGATTCTGAAATTTTCTGATCTACTATAAGATCAGAAGATTCTGAAATTTTCTGATCTACTATAAGATCAGAAGATTCATTACTGATTTTAGGTGGAACTATATTTGCCAAATCGAACTGACTAGGATCAGGGTGATCAGAAAAATTTTGAAATGACTGATCTATCTGAGGAGTTTCTTTCGAGTTATCTAAATAATATTCGGTAGAAGTTATTTTTGAAGTAAGGGTCTTTTTATATGAAGTCGGGAAATCAACGACCCTAGAGTTGACTTCCAACTCTAGTTTCCCTTACAGTAATCGGATTCGCAGTCAAATTTAGTTTTCCCGTGTTCACCGCATATGTGGCAGAATTTTACCCAACGATCAGGACATTTTTTATGTGAATGATCTTTTTTTCCACAATTAAAGCACGGGGGTTGATCTTTCGGCTTACGAAATTTTTGTTTATCTTTCTCCGAATTATTATTTTTGTGTGAGCTGCCCGAATCACTCTCCGATTTATTACTTTTATTTACTTTAGTTTTATTCGAACCAGAACTATTTTGTTTATTATTACTATTATTCGAACTAGACTTTGATTCATTATTAGACGAAAGGGCTTTAATCAACTCGCTCGTCATTATTTTAAAACACTGATCTAATTGGTTGATAGATGGCTCTGATGGGCTATTATTATTATCAACCTCAGATTTTTTAGCTATTTTGCCCGAATACGCAAATTCTGGAAAGAAGGAATTTTCCGGTTTTTGTGGAACCTTCTCGATTTTGAGAGAATCTAACATTCTTTCCACATCGCTCGCTAACTGAGACAATTCGTCCAAATTGCTAAATTCACGACGTTTGATACACCTTTTTAAGTCAGGTTTCATATTCATATAAACGCGATCTAACATATCTGGTAATGACACGTGGCGGTTAAATTTACTATACAGTCCTTCCATGCAAGTGATGAAATCAGATGTGTTTTCACAATTACCTTGAACACGGTTGGTAACCTGCTCTTCGAGACGCCACTGATAGTTGATATCACCGAAACGTAATCGACAAGCTGATTTAAAGTCGTCCCATGAGGACCATCGCGACTTGTTTAGTCGGTACCACTGTAACGCAATACCGTCTAACAGTAATACTGCCGCTCGCAGAAGTTCATTGCTAGTTATGGAGGAAATTTCCATGACGTCATCTATGCGTTCTAAAAATTCCTCAACACTTGTTTTCCCATCGCCTGAAAACTTTATCCCCCATTTTCTAACAACTGAATCTAAGGACTTTCTATTATGACTATTTGAATTTTGAATTTGAATATTATTATTCGGAATGTCAGAATTCACTATTTGGTTCCTACGCGTAATATTTAAATTAGGGGAGAAATTAGTTTGCCTATTTATATCCTGATATAAATCATGCTCATTATTATTTGAAGGCTGGCCCGATGCTGGTCCAGGGTTGTGCCAATGCTGGGCGGCTGTTGCTGAGCTATTCTCCCCAACAGCTAAACCTTGGTTGAACAACGGCCTTATGTCGGGTCGCTTTTCCGACCGCTTCGCTAGAAACGAGCCTGACTGTACCGATCCATGATGGGCTATCGGTTGAAAAACTGACTCGTACTGTGTGGAATTTTCAACCGCAATTTTATTGCATATTTTATTAATATTAGGGTGCGTAGGTGTCAACAGACACTTTTCCGAATTTTTATTTTCGATTTTAAAAGGTCTGAAATTCTGATAATTTCCCTCTAAGTCAATAAGTTGACCATCGCCTTTTATAAGTAAATTTTCCTGATACGAGGGTAATTTATAATCAAAATATGGCTTCTGAACAACCGATGATACTATACACGATTTGGGAGTTTGAAATAACTCTGTTACGCATTTTGGGTAACTACTTGGCTGACTAACCTGAGTTGGTTGCGAAAACGAGACTGAATTCGCTATCGTTACTCCTACTGTCGTAAGCGAGTGAGATGAGCTAGTAGTCGTGATTGATGGAATATCCGAATTTTGCGTACTATATACGGTTGTTGTGTACGGTATTTTTATTTCCGATGAGACCGGAGTGAATACAATTTCACGCATTTTCTCTAAGGTATTATTAACAGAATCCGGAAGGGATTCTACTTCTGAATCTACTGGGCAAATTTGTAATTCGTCTGAAAATGACCACCGAATCGTTTTATCCCCAGCGGAAAATTGCATATAACGTAAGGCACGTCCACGTAAGGTTTCTAAACTCCCTTTTGAATTGACGTTAACTGAGTTTAAATAAATTTTTAATTGGTCTCTAGACCAATTGTCAAAAATTGTTGGCTCGTCAATTATATGGTCCGCCATTTTAACAAAAGAATTTTTTTTATACTATGGGATTTAGTATGGAGTCGGAAAAATTCGGTGAAAGAGCAGTCTCAGTCAACAACAAAAAAAAATAATATTTTGTGCAATCAATCCTCGACTACACAGTAACCGTATTGTATTAAACAAAATATAAAAAAAATATTGTTCTGTCATTTATAGTCAAAACAAAAAAAAATGGATATAATTTTACTGTCCGCAGAAGGAATAAAGACAGGAATACATAGATTAAATTTTTAATTCATTTTAGAAAATCTTTTTCATAATTTTTATTTTAAATATATTATTTATTATTTATTAAGCAATAATAAAAAAAATATATTGTAGCAATCGAGAACCGATTGCACAATTCAATCAATTCATTTCACTAGAAGGCGGCGATGACTCAGCCAAATCCTTCGTAATTTATTTAAATAAAATTAATTAATTTAATAATTGATTAATTTTATTTTTACCCGTAATATTTTTAAGAATTTGATTCTCGATCAGTGTATATTTATCCTTGTTGTGAGAATTTGTACTATCAGTCACAGAATTGTGACCTTGATTATTATTTTCTATGTTTACTTTGATTCTTCAGTATAAACTGAAATCTCAAAATTTTTTCTAAGATATTTGAGTTTATAAAACTCAAATATATTTATTTTACAAATTCTCACAAAATTATGGAACAGTTATAATTGAAATAATTTTTCACAAATGTTGTTGCTCCAAATTAAGTGAAGTAATGTGTCCTTATCGGGCCCCACGTTGGGCGCCATTTATAACGCGATTTTTACTTGATTGATTATTTTTATATTATTTTTATTTTAATTTTACCAAAAACTATTAATTTTAAATTATTTTTCTCACGTTACTTTATTTTTTTTATTATTTATTAATTTTAAGACGCCAAGTTATTTTTATGGGAAATAACTAAACCATTCTATATTTATTTGAATATAATATAATATCCGCCTGCTGGCTCAGCACGTCATTTCTTTTGTACCAATGACCCGCGGAGAGTGGGGGGGAGAGGATAAAGACACAAATAAACACTTCGCTTAATTTGTTTTCATAATTATTTCTTTAATTCATTAATTTAATTAAATTAATTATTCGGCAGAAGGCCGAATAATTTTCACAATTAGTATTCGGCAGAAGGCCGAATAATTTTCACAAGTATAATGTTAGTATGCAAGATCTTTTCTGTATAACGGAAGGTTATATTATGAATTTAAATTATTAATTTAATAATGTGCCGATCTGGCTGACAAATTATTATAATCGGGACTCACCGTCTATACGACGTCTACCCCGTAGCGAACCTCGTCCTGACATAATTATTAAATGTCGAAAATATTATTTTTATTACAACAAAAGAAAAACTGGCTTGTCGCCTACTACACTTCCAGAATGAGAATGACTAAAAATGGCTGACCTGTCACGCTAGTCGGCGTCTCTTTGTGCGCTTTCTTTTTAGAGGTGAGTCCCGGTGAAAGTAATTAATTAGAACTTTCTTTATCGATAATCAATTTATCACGAGTCGATATTTTTCATGAATCCGGAGGGTAAAGTAGAACGCTACCGTGCCACGGCGCATCGTAGCGCTCTCTATCCAAAATGGCCGCTCCCATTGTTGTGACAGCTGAGTATACAAATGAATTTTCGTCTTCCTGGTGCTCTTCTTATTCGGGAATCTCTTCCAAATATATACACCAGGAAGCACTTCCCTTGTGGTACATCGAACATCATTAATAATATGGAAAAGCTGACTCATTTTGTTGAATCGGAGAATTACTCCGATTAATGTCCATTTTTTCATGAAATAGAAAAATAATAAAATGATAATGTGGACAACAATTTACTGTTTCCTTGAATCGATCTGGCGAGTCAGCAGGTATTTTTGATTTTATTCACTATTGCTTAATTTAATTTTTATATTTTTACAATTCTTTTGTTATAATTTTACTTTTGACAAACATACTGATTTTTATTTGTTTTTAGAAATGATGGTGATTCCCACCCTGGAATATTTATTTACTATTTAGCTATAAAAAAATAAAGGAATATTGTGACGAGCATAAAATGCCGCGTCACAGTATGTATGTATGTATTTTTGTAGACAAAAAATTTGTCTCGACGATAACTTGAGTAAATTTTAAGTAATCCACCTCAAATTTGGTTTGCACTTTAAGTGCACCAAAATTTCGCCTGAGTTCGTTGGACAGGCAATTTCGTCAAAAAACAAAACAAAATTTTCAAACAAATTTAACATTTTTTGATTGGAGTAAAAACAACAAAGTTACACAATTTTTTTTAATTTCAAATATTTTTATTTTTCAAAAAAAATTTTTTCAATTTTTTTTTGAAAACACAAGTAAAAATAAATACTTTTTTCTTTAGACATTTTTTTAATAGCGATCAAAAGAACAAAGTTGTACCTCTTTTTCTTAAAAAAAAGACAAAAACAGATAAAAAATGGGTAAAATGAAGGGCAAAATTACTTTATTTTGAAAAAATTTGTGCGACTATGTATTATTTCTGTTTAAACCACCTTAAATTAACTTACTCATAAAATTCCTAAATTTTTTTTATAAGTCCAACCTTTGTTTTCCATTTCCAAACATTGCAATTGTTTTCAAAAAATTCTCTATTCCAAAATAGTTTATATTACGCTGTTTATACCAGAATTTCGTATGTTTTTGATTATTTACTTTTGAATTGGGTTGAATTCATTTATTTGTAGTTGTTTTTTTAATGTAACCACTTGACATTTCGATGGCTGGGTGTAAAAACATGATACATCGGATTGGCGTTGAAAAACATGATACGTCGGATTAGCGTTGGAAAACATGACATATCGTCGTTTGATTGGTTGGTACCACTGACCGCGAAATTTAAAATGGTTTGTTATATATTACATTTTTTAAGAATATATGATGATATTAAAATAATAGAAGTAAAATCTTGCACTATACACATATAATTTTGAATATTTTACATGAAATTCGTTTTAAATTAACGGGATTACAATACTGTATTTAAATGGTCGTCTGTATTACACCGTCCGACACGATTTTTCACACACGAAAAAATCAATGATTTTCAGAAACTAGGACCAAAAAAAAGATACCCGTGTCTGGCCGTTTTGCTAGATCAGGCCATTTTTTGCTTTTAGGGGTAAAAAAAACCCTTAAATGAAAGGTGATAGGAAATCTTGTACAAATTAATAATTCTTTATGAAACCTGGTATCTCGGGGTTTTCCGGGTCGCTGATTACGAATCTGATGTCAGATTTTTAAAATTAAAAATTTCAGATTCAATATGGCGTTTCAAATTTATAAAAGTTCGTCGAATTCACTTGAAACTTGTTACTTGAAGGTTTTTGGGGTTGCTGATTACAAATTTGATGTCGGGTTTTCAAAATTCAAAATGGCGGATCCAATATGGTGGTTGAAATTTATAAATGTTATTAATTTTTTATAAAACTTCGTATCTCTGGGTTTTTGGGGTCGCTGAGTACGCATCTGAAGGTAGATTTTTAAAATTCAAAATAGATCTAATAATGTATAAGATTAGAAAACAATATATAAAAAATAAAAATTTCCACATATGTGTTTTTTGTATATTGGACAAAGTTAAAACAAATGACAGTTGTTTATATGTTCGTTTTCAGTTGCATAGTTACGGAAAATAGTACATAAAACAAATGACAATTGTAGACTTTTTTACTTTGCACAGCAGTTTTAAACAATCACTTCACATCTTTAAATTCATTTTACTTGAGCTTATTACTGTTATCTAATAAAAATATTCTTACTTACTACAAAGCCTGTTTTGTCATTAAAAATGTGTCCAATATACAAAAAACACATATGTGGAAATTTTTATTTTTTAAATATTGTTTTCTAATCTTATACATTATTAGATCTATTTTGAATTTTAAAAATCTACCTTCAGATGCGTACTCAGCGACCCCAAAAACCCAGAGATACGAAGTTATAAAAAAAATTAATAACATTTATAAATTTCGACCACCATATTGGATTCAAGTCAAATAGGTCATAATCAATTTGACCTACAAGGCCTTGGTTAGGTCTAGTCTAGGTCAAATAATTTTTCATGAAGAAAGATCAAGTTTTTATGCAAGGAATCGTCAGGGCAAGAATTTTTATGTAAAAAACACTAATGTCATGTTTTTAGGTCAAAGGTCATATTTAATTTCTTATTAAACTGTATTTTGTATTAAAAGCATTTTATGCAGCTGTTGGCTAGTTTTTAGAAAACTACTCAGAACTCACCACGTGAAGGTGGCTGCACATCGAGTTCCACCTCCTCCTCACCCAACCGACCTACCTTAACGAAAGATTTTTTTTGTATTTTTTTTTGCAAAAAGTGAGTCACTAATTCAAATTAGTAAACATTTTTACTAATTTAGATTTAGAGAGTAGCATTTTTATTTTTCCATTTAAAAAAAGAGTTGACCTTGAAATGTCCTTATTTAGGTCATTTAGGTCAAATTCAAGTTTGTCACTGGATGTCCCCCTCTGAGCACAACAACTTTTGCCTGAAACATTTTTTTGTAAAATCAACTGATTAAAAGTTATTTCGCCTGATAGATTAAAATGGGACACCCTGTACAGCATACCTTGGACAGAAAAATATATTGACAGCAAAAGTAGTTATATGTGATGGTATCGATTATTATCTCCGTGACTCATTTTTAAGAGATGAGATATATAAATTAATACAATAGAATTACAAGATTAATTGCACTATACGCTTTTACGGTGGAGTTAAAGTAAATGAGCATAGTCACTTTGTTGTTTACAGAAGATAAATTATTCCAAGTCATGGCGCTCGCTACAGGTTCGACATAAAGGAAATTGATGAAAACGTATTAGAAATACATTTGTCCAGTACCAAAGAATTATTTTCGGCTCATGATATTCCGAGTAAACTTCTTCCTATCACACAGGTAAGAGGTCCGAAACGTAAGGAAATGAAAAAATTGTTAAAATACAGATCAACTAGGATGTCTCATTTAAGAATAAATAAAAATGTCGATCCATATCTTGCACATGAAGGAAACGCACAGGATGCAACGCGATTGAATGTATTGCATCAAGTGGAATCAGAAGACCGTTGTAAACACAAGTTAATGTCAGCAGATATTGAGGATATTGTTCAATTATACTTGGAAACACAAAATTTGAAAGATCAAGCTTTACAAGAATTACGTAAGGGTCGAAAAGAGACTTTTTTAATTTTGCACCAAGAGGAGGGTGGCTTTTGGGAGTGAGTCCGAAGGTTATAAATAAGTGGTGGTTGTTTGGGTTAAAAAAACAAAAATTTTAGCTACTTTTGAACCCGAAAAGTTATTACGTAATGGTCGAAAACAGACTTTTTCGATTTTTTACCAAGAGGGGGGTGTCTTTTGGGGGTGGGTCCGAAGGGTATGCATACATGGTGGTTGTTTGGGATAGAAAAACAAAATTTTTTTCATACTTTTGAACCCCAAAAAGTTATTACGTAAGGGTCGAAAAGAGACTTTTCCAATTTTCACCAAGAGGGGGGCGGCTTTTAGAGGTAGGTCCGAAGGGTATGCATACATGGTGGTTGTTTGGGATAAAAAACAAAATTTTTTAGCTACTTTGGAGCCCCAAAAGTTACAACGTAAGGGTCGAAAAGAGACTTTTTCGATTTTTGACCAAGAGGTGGGTGGCTTTTGGGGGTGGGTCCGAAGGGTATGAATATGTCGTAGGCATTTAAAAAATCTGCCATTTAGCTTAATTCCTAGGCATTAATCTAAATGGCGGTAACAAGAAAAATGATTGTTAAAGGATGGTTATTTTTCTACTTGTTTGAAATCAATTAGTCATTTATCTTATTGCCTAGACATTAAGGAAGTCACCTGAAGAGCATCCGGCAAATAGAAAAATGAGATTTTGTGCATGAGTGTCTCACAATATATTTATAAAAATATGAAAGAAATCAAGAACTGGAAAGGTTTGGCATCAAACATTTTTTTATTTTTTATTTTAATATTATTACAATGTATTAAAAAACTTTGGCAAAAATTAACAAACTATGACTGTCAATGTTATACAATATAAATCAGGGACTGACACGGAAACAAAAAAAAACGCCAAATCAATTGTGTGTAGTGTCGTGGTCAATCACAAATACATTTAATAATTTATAATGTTTTCGTGTCCTGACCGGACACTTTTAAATTAATGAAATGTTTTCGTGTCCCGACCAGAAACTTTTAAAAAAATTAAATGTTTTCGTGTCCGGACACGCCACTTTTAAAAATTTTAAATGCTTTTGTGTCTGGGCACGACACTTTTCAAATAATTAAATATTTTCGTGTTCTAACCAGACACTTTTGAAAAAATTAAGTGTTTTTGTGTCTGGACACGATACTTTTAAAATAATTAAATGTTTTCGTGTCAGGACACGACACTTTTAAAATTTTCAAATGATTTCGTGTCTGGACACGATACTAAAACTTTTTAAATGTTTTCGTGTCTGGATAGGACCCACATTCTCATTGTAAAATATTCTCATGAACAAATTTACTTCTTACGCCATATTAGATCCGCCATTTTGATTTTTTCATTTTTGAAATTAGATTTGGATTCAGTGATCCCAAAAACTAGCAACTCTTCTTTCTTCTTCCCTGCCCCATCACAATGATTAAAAATTTAATTATATTAAAAATAAATTATTCATATTTAGTTAAATTAATTAATGAAATGTTTCAGTCACTAGACATGAAACATTAAAAAAGAATTATGTCTCGTATCCAAACACGAAACGTTATTCAATGAGAAAATGTGTTGTGTCTGGACACAAAACATTTTATTATTTTAAATGTGTCAGGTCCGAACACGAAAACATTTCTTTATTTCAAAAAGTGTCAGATACAAACACGAAACGATATTCGATGAGAAAATGTGTCGTGTTCTGACACGAAACGATATTCGATGAGATAATGT